TCGCGCAGTGTCTTGAGGACCACTCGAACCATCCTGTTATGGAGGAAGGTTGAGGCGCCGGTCTTGGTGCAGACGAGGGAGTGGGCTCGGCTCAAGCGGTCCTTGCATGGTAACAATGCACCTGCACCACAAAGTTTGCCTGTGTTGCAGTCTGCTCGATCGTGACTCCCCAGTACACGACCGATTGACTCTCGATATAGATCAGGCAGCATTCTTTCATTTGCTGACAACCCTTGCGTTGTCAACCACGACAAAACTCCCTTGCCTTTCGCTTCCTCCAAGCGGATCAACGCCCTCTTCTTTGGCGTTTCCTCGCCTACTACTTTCTGCAAGTCTGTCTCCACCATGTGGCGCACTGCTGCATCGTGTGTGTGCATATGTAGGAAGGATCTCAGGAACGGTTCTGTGTTCCGTACATGAAGAAACCCGCTGTGGTACCTGTTGTAGTAGACTTGGATGATTCTGCGGTGCCCCCATGCTGCGTCAGCCTGTGTGGGGCACTCTCTTTCTCCTCTGTCTGTCGTGCGTTTGTCCTGCGGATCTAATACAAGCAATCAACGAGATTTTCTAGTCACTGGACACAAATACGGCCATACCCGGCAATCACTCCGGCTCTAGGAGTGGTCAACACTCTAGAGTTTCTTTCTATCTCCATCGTCCTTGCAAGGAAACGAAAGAGCCGGTGCCAGCAACATGTCGGGAGGAGTCTCGCAGGAGGAGCTCGCTGCTAAACTTGGAGAAGTGGAGAGCACGCTGACGGCGCGCCTTGAAGAACAGCAGGCCAAGGCAGAGGGGAGGATGGAGCAGCTGCTCAGTCGCTTCGAGAGCCTTCTGCCCACGCAGCCCACGCGAGACGGAGGAGGAGGAGGGTCACACAGCGCCGCGGTGAACGGGGGCACCGTGGGGGGTGCGGTTGGAATCCCGGAGGGAACCGGGAGTTCCGCCGCAGGGAACCTACCTGAGACTGTGGGCCCCAGCGCTCGGAACGACGGCTGGGTCAGCGGGCCTGGTCCCCAAGGAGGTGAGATGGCCGCCGGTAGCGATGGTGCTGTTGAATGGGGCGAGACAGCGGTGGGGTCAGGGAAGACTACGTCGTTTCGCGAAAGCGTCCCGCAGTTCAAGGGCGAAAAGCACCAGTACCCCGGGTGGAACATGGACTTCAGTCGCTTCATCAACTACATGAACCTACCCGAGACTTTCTTCGGGAAAGCGACAATGCCAGATGTAGCGCTGCCGCGACCCCAACTTCTGCAGGCAGGATTCACCATGGACCAGATCAACAACGCCCTACACGGGTGGCAACTCTTTTCAAACGCGATGGTACGTGAGAACGAAAAATCGCTGAACTGTCGGTAGTGTGGGAGATTGCAGGTGGTGGGGGGCGGCAACGTTTTCTAGGGGTTCGGTATTAATCAAAACCTACTTCCGGACACCGAAAGGTGGAGTGCAGCACACATTCCAGAGCTCCAACAAGGGGAAGGAGAAGTACCGCCTCGACTTCATCCTCATGCGTCAGACGGACCGGCGTTTCGTGCATGATGTCTCCGTCAAACGTGTCGACTTCAAAGACTCTGACCACAACCTCGTGCTCACGACTGTCCGCCTCCCCCCTCGTGTCGCACCCAACCGATGAGTGCGGGGGAACAGCGGAAGCAGCCGGATCCGTATCGACCTCCAGCGGTTGATGAAGGACAAACACCTACGGGTCGCCTTCNGCCTTCCAAAACAGGGCCTCCAGCCGCCCTCCGCCCACGGCGCTCAGGCGGCCAACGGGAGAGACCGCCGCCGAGCTGACGGCTACGGTGATGTCGGTCGCTGCTGAGACCGCGCCGCTGGCGAGGTGCGCACGAGGGCAGAGAGGCTGGTACACGAGCGAAGCGCAGCACGAGATCTCCGAAGCATCGAAGGAGATTAAGGCGGCCCAGCAGCAACTACGTGGGGCCTCAAAGAACAGCGCCTGCGTGGCGACCTTGAAGGCGATGCTCAAGGCGGCGCGGAAGAAGCGCAGCATCGCGAGGTGGAGAGCACTGGAAACGTTCTT